AGCCACCCCATTTTCAATTAACAGTATACCACTTCAGGATGTGTACCTTATAATAACAAAATAATCCTAATTCTTCTCTCTTGTCATTTCTATCATTACTGTTATTTATTTCACATGTATAAGGACAGGTAAGTATATATACATGTTAGCACAAGATATATACCTAAGTGTATGTAACTAATATTGTTGCTATTATTTTGAGCTAGCTGTTACTAATTAAGAATGAGAAAAAAAAATTTTTTTAACTTCCTTTGTTCCTTTCTTTTTGTCGATCAGAGTTTCTGATCTGTTTTTCTTCTCTCTAAATAACTTTTTTTAATGTTTATGTTTTAATATTTTTTGTTTTTATTTATTTACTTTATTTTATTTATTTATTTCTGAGAGAGAGAGAAAGAGAAAGAGACAGTGTGAGCAGGGAAGGATCAGTGAGAGAGGGAGACACAGAATCCGAAACAGGCTCCAGGCTCTGAGCTGGCTGTCAGCACAGAGCCCAATGCAGGGCTCTAACCCATAAACCGTGAGATCATGACCTGAGCCAAAGCCGGACACTTAACCGACTCAGCCACCCAGGTGCCACATTTATTTTTGAGAGTAAGAGAGAGACAGCGTGAGCAGGGGAGGGTCAGAGAGATACAGAATCTGAAGATGGGCTCCAAGCTCTGAGCCAGCTGTCAGCACAGAGCCTGATGTGGGGCTCAAACCCACGAACTGTGAGATTATGACCTGAGCCGAAGTCGGATGCTTAACCGACTGAGCCACCCAGGCGCCCCCTAATGTTATGTTTTATATTTGAGAGACACAGCGAGACAGACACAGAGCGCAAACAAGGGAGGGGCAGAGAGAGAGAGGGAGACAGAATCTGAAGCAGGCTCCAGGCTCCAAGCTGTCAACACAGAGTTGAACGTTAGGTTTGAACTCCTTAGCTGTGAGATCATGACTTGAGCCAAAGTCAGATGCTTAACTGATTGAGCCACCTGAGTGCCTATAAAGAACTTGTTTTATCATTTTTTGTAAGGCATGTGTACTGGCAACAAATTCTCTTAGTTTTTTAAAAAAATTAATTTATTTTTAGAGAGAGAGAGAGAGAAAGAGAGAGAATCCCAAGCAGGCTCCATGCTGTCAGTGCAGAGCCCAACATACAGCTCAGTCTTATGAACCATGAGATCATGACCTGAGCTGAAATCAAGAGTCAGACACTTAACCGACTGAGCCACCTAGGCACCCCAATTGTTTTTAAAGTAAGCTCTATACCCAACGTGTGGCTTAAGGTGAAGACCCAACATCAAGATTTGTATGCTCTACTGACTGAGCCAGACAGGTGCCCTCTGATTCTAAGAATTTTTGTTTGTCTAAGAAACAGAAACTTTAGATACTTTCCCAGGGTATAGAATTCTAGCTTGGTGTGTTTTTTTTCCCTCAACCTTTTATTTTTTAAGTAAACTCTACTTGCAGTGTAGAGCTTGAACTCATGACTCCAAGGTCAAGAGTTATATGCTTTACCTACCGAGCCAGCTAGGCGCCCCTTTCAACACTTAGGATGCTTTATTCTACTCTCTTGATTGCATCGTTTACTGGATTATGGATGTAGTTCTTGTCTTTGGCTATAGGTAAGGTGCTTTTTTCCTTTTGGCTTCTTTCAAGATTTTTTCTTTCTCTTTGATATTCCATAGTTTGGAAATGAATTGCCTAGGTGTAGTTTTGGTGGGTGTCCTTTATCTTGCTTGATGTACTCTGAGCTTCCTGGATCTGTTACTTGATGTCTGACATTAATTTGGGGAATTGTTGGTTACTAGTTTTAAAAATGTATCTTCTGTTTTTTATCTCTTCCTTACCTTTCTGGTATTCCCATTATTTGTATGTTACACCTTTTGTGATTATCCCATAGACCTTGGATATTCTGTTCAGTTTTTTTTTTCTTTTTTTTTTTTTCTTTCTCATTTTTCTCTCTGCTTTTCAGTTTGGAGGTTCCTGTTGAGGTACCTCAAGCTCAGATTCTTTCCTCAGCCATGTCTTGTCTATTACTGAGCTCATCAAAGGCACACTTCATTTCTCTTAGTGTTTTTGATCTTTACCATTTCTTTTGGTTCTTTCTTAGGATTCACATCTCTCTTCTTACATTGCCTATCTTTTTTTTTTTTTTAATATTTTTATTTATTTCTAGGAGAGAGAGAGAGACCGCGTGAGCAGGGGAGGGTCAGAGAGAGAGGGAGACACAGACTCTGAAATAGGCTCCAGGCTCTGAGCTGGCAGTCAGCACAGAGCCCGATGTGGGGCTCGAACCCACGAACCACAAGATCATGACCTAAGTGAAAGTCGGACACTTAACCGACTAAGCCCCCCAGGTGCCCCCTTACATTGTCTATCTTGCATGGTGTTTATTTTATCTATTAGAGCCCTTAGTATATATCAATCATAGTTGTTTTAAATTCCTGTTCAGATAATTCCAACATTCCTGCCATGTATGGTTCTGAAGCTTGCTCTGTCTCTTTAAATTGTGTTGTTTTTCATTGTGCCTTGTAATTTTTTCCTGATAGCTGAACATGATGTACCAGGAAAAAGGAAGTTTGTAAATTGACCGTTAGTAATGTGAGAGGGGAGAGAAAGCATTCTGTAGTCCTGTGATTAGGTCTCAGCCTTTTAGCACACCTATATCTCTGGACAATGAACTTCACAAGTGTTTTTTGTTTTTTGTTTTTGTTTTTTTGTTTTTTATTTTTTTATTTTTTTTTACAAATAGTTTATTGTCAAATTATTTTCCACATTTTTTTAATTTTAATTTTTATTTATTTATTTATTTTTTTACAAATAGTTTATTTCACAAGTGTTTTAGTATGTTTCCTTCCCCCGCTCCTCCTTAGTTGGGAGAGGATGCTTAAAGTGGGCCGGAATTGGGTATTTTCTTTCTCTCAGGTTAGACTCTGATAATACCCCAGCAGGTTAGGCTCTGGTTAACTAGTTCTTCTAAGGGCAAGAGTATTTCAAAGTGTTTCTTTTTGCCTTCCCCCTATGGGAAGCACTAGGAGATTTTTCTCATATTTACTGAAGACCTAGACTAGCTCCTGGATGTAAATGTCTCAAAATAGTGGGGGTGAGTCCCCCTTGAAGGTTTTTTTAAGACTGAAGTTTTTTAGAATTGTTTCACAACAAAATTGAGAGGAAGGTACAAAGATTTCCCATATATTCTCCTGCCCTCACACATGCATAAACTTCCCCATTATCTGCATCATTCAGCAGAGTGGTGCATTTGTTAACCAAGGATGAATCTACACTGATACATCTTAATTACCCAAGGTTGATTGTCTTAGAATTTACTCATGGTGTTTTACATCATATGGGTTTGTACAAAGTATAATGACATATCCATTGTTAAAATATATACACGTATATATATATATATATATTTCAAAGTTTATCCATTCTGAGAGAGAGAGAGAGACAGCACATGCAAGTGGGAAGGGGCAGAGAGAGAGAGAGGGAGAGAGAGAACCCCAAGGAGACTTCGCACCACCAGTGTGGAGTCCATTATGCAAGATCATGATATGCATGTTCAAAGTCATGAACTGTAAGATCATGACCTGAGCTGAAGTTGGATGCTAACCCCACTGAGTCACCCAGGTGCCCCAATATATAGAGTATTTTTATTGCCTGTATTCTCTTTATTCATCACCTTACCACCCTCAGCTCTGGCAGTTACTAATGTTTTTGCCTCAATTGTTTTGCCTTTAACAGAATGTCACGTATTTGGGATCATACAGTATGTAGCCTTTCAGATTGACTTCTTTCTCTGAGTATTATGCATTTAAGTTTCCTCCATGTTTTTTCATGGCTTCGTAGTTAATTTCTTTTTGGTGCTAAATAATATTCCATTGTCTGGATGTACTTTAGTTTATTTATCTGTTCACTTAGTGGAGGACACCATCTTGGCTGCTTCCCAGTGTTGATTGTTAGGAGTAAAGCTCCTATAAAGATTCATGTGCAGGTTTTTCTGTGGACCACTCAGGGGGTTTTAACTCTCGGACTTGTGCACACTGAATCTGCACCAATTTGGCAATGATATTTCAGGCTTTCCTACCTTTTTACTGGTTCCCATTGTGGTTTCTGTTCTTGACTTTCTATTCCAGTAAGCCTTGACTCCTTGTATTTCTCTGTCTCTCCAGTACTGAGGTCAGCAGTTTGCACTGTGTCCTTGCCTTGTAAGAATCCTAGAAGAGTTGTTGATTTTTTTGATCTGTTCAGATTTTTACTTAAAAAGATTTTCAAGCTCCTTATATGTGGAACTGGAAGTTCTGAACTACTTTTTTAAAATGAAAAAATAGTTCATGAAAAAGCAGGGTATGTATATGATTTTAAAAAGTTAACTGTATGGAAGGAAATGTAAATGAAACATTTAAATCTCTTTTCCATTTTAGACCTTAGTTCTTCAGATCTTCTCCCTAGAAGAAATCACTGTTAATAGTTCCATGTATATTCTTCCATAGGTAATCTTAGCATGTGAAAATGTATATGTGTATATAATCTTTTTCTAAAAAAAACATATGTGGAAACATATTCACCATGTAGTGGACCTTGTTTTTGTTTCTTACATTTCTTACATCTTAGAGTTCATGTCATATCAACATGCAAAGATCTATTTCAATTTTCTTACAGTTGCATATTATTCTGTTAGAGATGTATAATATATTTTAACACCTCTCACCTCCTCATGATGAACATTTATGATTTTATTTAAAAGTATGAAAATGTCATAAGTGCTCAGTTAAAATCAGTGTAGTTATGTGCATATACCCTTGTAATGTGTGTGTCATAAGTGCTCAGTTAAAATCAGTGTAATTATGTGCATATACCCTTGTAATGTGTGTGTCATAAGTGCTCAGTTAAAATCAGTGTAGTTAGGTACATATACCCATGTATCTGTGATGTACATTCCTGGAAATCACCGCCTTAATATTAGTAAGTACATATTACTGTTTTATAATTTGAGTTTTTCCCCAATCCTTTAGAAAAAAGCCTAAGAAGAGAGAAAATGGGACTGGATGTAGAAGGTCAATGAGATTACTAAAAGTAGATCCTTCAGGAGTGTCATTACCAGCACCCCCAACCCAGCCGACATTAATCGCAGATGAAAATGTAAGAAAGTGCGAAAACTATGTATTACTCAATAAAATACTGAAACATTTGAAGTGTTTAAAACTAGTTAAAAGGTCATTAACTTTTTTTTATAGCTGTGATTTAAAAACATTTTTAAAAAATGTTTTATTTATTTAAAAAAAAAATTTTTTTTTTTTTAATGTTTTATTTATTTCTAGGAGAGAGAGCGAGAGACAGCGTGAGAAGGGGAGGGTCAGAGAGAGAGGGAGACACAGACTCTGAAACAGGCTCCAGGCTCTGAGCTGGCAGTCAGCACAGAGCCCGACGCGGGGCTCAAACCCACGAACGGCGAGATCATGACCCAAGCGAAAGTCGGACGCTCAACCGACTAAGCCACCCAGGCGCCCCAAAAAATGTTTTATTTATTTTTGAGAGAGAGAGAGAGACAGTGTGAGCAGGGGAGGGTCAGAGATTGAGAGTCACAGAATCTGAAGACAGACTCCAGGCTCTGAGCTAGCTGTCAGCACAGAGCCCAACGCGGGGCTCAAACCCACAAACCATGAGATCATGACCTGAGCTGAAGTTGGACACTTAACCGATTGAGCCACTCAGGTGCCCCAAAAGGTCATTAACTTGTGTTCAATTTGTACTTAATTAAAAAAATGTTTATTTATTTATTTTGAGAGAGGGAGAGTGCTAGTGGGAGAGAGGCAGAGACAGAATCCCAGAATTCCCATCAGACTTCGTGCTGTGAGAGCTGTCCATGCAGAGCTTGATATGGGGCTGGATCTCACAAACCGTGAGAATCTAAATCAAGAGTCAGATACTTAACTGACTGAGCCAGCCAGATAACCCTGTACTTCATCAATTTAATACTACTGTTTATAGTTTAATGATTAAGATTTCAAAGTCATAAAGACTAGTTTGGATTCTATATTTCTGCAAGTTTACCTGCAGTGGAATTGTGGATAAATTAACCTTTCTGAGCCTGTTTCCTTGTATTTAAAGTGGTAATAGTGTAGAAACTTCAAAGGGTTGTTGAGGGGGTTAAGTGAAATAGTATCTATAAAGTTTCTTCTGTTGTGTTAAGGGCTTAGCAAGTAATCAATAAATGGTAGTATTAATGTTAATAATAATAAATAATAGTGATGGCCCCTTGCTGTGGTATAACTTTGTACTATCAGTGAGTAGAAAGAGTTTTATTTATGAAGTTTATTGTCCAAATAAGCTTATAATTAGGTTTTTTATTCAAGAGCACCTACTGTTTTTAATACTTTATATCTAAGTGCTTAATTCTAAATTGGAAGATAGCACTAATTAGACTGGTACTTTGGGAGCTAATTGCAAATTAAGGTACTTTGGAAGAGTAGCTTTCCAATTTTTCTGAAGCTTTCATCCATGATAAATATATGTATATTGAACTCATTCCACATAGCTGAAGCAAAACTTTTGTGAAATGATACTTAAATTTGCTGCATGTGATATATTTTTGACTCTATTCTTTTGTTGTTCAAGAAAAAACACTGTCGGTTTTAACGTATCGAAATGATTTCACCATCCATGGGTTACAGCCTAGGAATTAAAAAAACACTGGCAGGGTGCCTGGTTGGCTCTATTGGTTGAGGGTCCAACTCTTGGTTTTGTCTTAGGTCATGATCTCATGGTTTGTGGGACTGAGCCCTGAATTGAGCTCTGTCTGCACTGACAGGGTGGGGTCTGCTTGGAATTTTCCCTGTCTCTCTGTCCCTCCCCCATTCATGGGGCACGCTCATGCATTCTCTTATTCAAAAATAATTTAAACTTAAAAAAAAACCTACTGGCATAGAATAATAACTGAGTAATGAAATATAACTGATCTGAACCAATTCCTGGCAATTCCTGTTTTGGCAGTGTAACTTTAGACAAGGTAACTTCTCTAAGTTTCATTATAATCTCTTTAAAATGTGCTATCTCATTCACTAGATTATTGTGAGTATTAAATGGGATAATATATATTATTAGTTTACAGGATACCCGGAAATCTTTCATTGAACAATTATTTTTGAATACTATTGATGTGTCCCCTATGTTGTTGGTATTCAAAGTAGTGAAAAACATTCTAGGGCAGACCAAGAATCAATCAACCTTTTTATTTCTCATTTTATTCTTGATTTTTTTATTTTTTAAAATAGCCTTTGTTACCGCCTGGGCCTTTAGAAATGACTCCTGAAAATCGAGATGATGACAATGACCTATTTAAAGGATTCCTACAGACTTGGGCAGAAATGAACAAGGTATCACTTGGGAGGGCTTACAGCTTTTAGAATTATCTGTTAAGGAAAATTTTCAGTATATATATTTATTACTTTGATCTCTTTCATTGTTGCAGACAAGTATTAAGAATACTGAGAAGGAGTTATCTAGCATTAAAAGGTGAGTTGAAATTCCTTGTTTTTGTTTTATATTTTCTGAGATATTTAAGTTACACAGACTATATACTGTTACAGGAGGTTTTGAAAATGAGGTGGAAAGAATACCCATAATATTTCCACCTAACAACTGTTGTTTTTGTATGTTTCTTTTCAGGTATTGCCATATGTAATACCACTGTGATAAAAGCTTCATGAGTGCAGGGATTTTGTCTCAATAACCAAAACAGTGCTTGGCACAATATATATATTCACTCATTGTTTAATAAATGAATGAATACACGTACATTTTTAGTTTATTGTGTTCTAACGTATATACAAATTTGCATTTGCTTTTTCATTAACATAGTTACTTTTACTCAAGTCTTTAAATTTATCGATTTATTGCATATTGTTTCGTATAAGAGGTAGCATTTACTTACTAACCTCTACTTCCTCTGTTGTATTTGGAATTTTTTTAAATAAATTTTTTCCATTTTATTTTAAGTTTGTTTCTTTAATAAATAGAGACAGACAATCCCAAGCAGGCTCTGCACTGTCAGTGCAGAGCCCGATGTAGGGCTCAGTCTCATGAATAGTGTTATTTTGACCTGAGCTGAAATCAAGAGTTGGATGCTTAACTGACTGAGCCATTCAGGTGCCCCTAGAATTATTTTCAATTTAGTTTTATGTGTTTAGTTGTGTAGTTAGTTACATATGTGCATGTGTTTAAATGTGATACTGTGTTAATTCTTTAGGATAGATTCCAGAAGTGAGTTTAATGACTCAGATATTATGGACATACATTGCTGAATTGTTCTCCAAATCTTTTTTTTTTTTTCCCTCTGAAAATCTTACGTGAACTTACTCTGCCACTAGCACTGTTAATGAATGTATATGTTTAACTGCAGTCTGCTTCCTTTTATAACTGAAGAATAGTATCCCATTTTCTAATTTGATTTCCTTGGTTGCTAGGAGGTTAATTATTTACTGTGTCTTTTTTCTTTTTTCTTTTTTTTTTTTTTGAGTTATATTTCAGATATTTTGACTGTTGATTGATTTTACTTCTAAAATAACTTGTTTTCTCAGCTATAAAGCCAATTTAAGTGGCATGATCATTAATGAAGACACTGTTCATAAAGTTACCAAAGGCCCAATATTCTCTTTGACTCTCCACCCATCAGAAATTAGAACTTTGGTGGCAGCTGGGGCCAAATCTGGACAAGTTGGACTTTGGGATTTGGTAAGTTATTAATTTTTTGAAGACAGTAAAGTTTGACTGAAACAAATAGTCTACAGGAGGATAGCCTAGAGCCATGTGTTTGTAGATGTTACTTGAGATTTATAGTTTTGTGTTTTGTGATTCAGAGTTTAGAAATCTGGAGAAATTTTAGTTGGCTTTCTGAACTTAAAATTTTTTAGTTAGAATATCCTTAGTCCTCGGGGCATAAATTAACTGCCAGGAATGCCAGGAAACTCTGTTACAACTTTAAATGTATACATGAAAAGATCACACTAAGTTCTTAGTTTTCTAATCATGTTTAAAATACAGTTTCCACGTGAGAAAAAGTATCTTTCAGGGATCTGCTTAGGATGATTCCATTCATTTTTTTATGAGTCACAAACAGATACTGAATTCCATTCATTGTACATGTAATTATGCATGGATTGCTTTTGATGGTTACAAAATTGAGAAAAGCCAAGTTAATGTTCTCTGAATTTATTTTCTAATTGGGAAAGTAGAACAAAGACCTGTTTATTAACAGATTTTTCTCTCTTGTTTTGGGAGAAAAGGTTCTTCCTTATTTTGATAAGGTTTGAGTGAGGGTAGGAGGTAAAAGTATTTGGTAAATAAAATAGAAGAGAAGTGGGAAGAGGACTAAAAGTAGTGTAAGGTTGTACAAGTGAAGAGATGAGTTTTAAGGATTGGAGTTTGACAAAGCTTCTTATAGAGAAGTTAAAAAGAATGAAAGCAGAGAAAAGGTCATTGGTCATTTTGAAAATGGGGTACCATTAGGGAATTGAGAGAATAGCTTCAACAAAGAGGTAAGGAAGGAACACAGACTTTGAGAGAATAAAAAAGAATGGGGTAATGGAAGAAATGAGAGCAATGTATAAATATCATTGGTCAAAGAACTTTGAAAAAGAAAAATAGAGAATTAGATCTTCAAGTGAAGATCTTTTCAGGGTAGATTGATCTGTACAGAGTTGAAGACAAGTAGAAAAGTCCCTTTGTTGTGTCTTTCCTAGTGACTTCAAAATCTGTATTACTAGGTCTCTATAGTCGGGTGTCCTTTTTTTTTTTTTTTTTTAATGTTTGTTTATTTTTGAGAGAGAGAGCATGAGTGGGGAAGGGACAGAGAGAGAGGGAGACACAGAAACTGTCAGCATAGAGCCTGACATGGGGCTCGAACCCATAAGCCATGAGATCATGACCTGAGCTGAAGTCAGACGCTTAACTGACTGAGCCACACAGGTGCCCCATATAATCTGGTATCTTTAACAACTGTCTAAATTTCCCAGAACCTTGGCTGTGTCACATTAACAGCTTGAGAAAGTCTAAAACTCGGGGTGCCTGGGTTTAGGCTATCATTCTCTCTCTCTCTCTCTCTCTCAGAAATAAATTTTAAAAATATAAAAAAATTTTTTTTTTAATTCAATACTTTTGCTGCCCTGTACTCATCTCCCAACTCTCCTAGTTTTTTAAAAAATTAACTTTATCAAAGCATAATTTAGATATTGTAAAATTCACATATTTAAAGTACAACTTAATGATTACAATTTTTTAAATGTTTATTTATATTTTAAATGTTTATTTTTGAGCGAAAAAGAGCATGAGTGAGGGAAGGGGCAGAGAGAGAAAGAGAGGGAGACACAGAATCCAAAGCAGGCTCCAGGCTCTGAGCTGTGAGCACAGAGCCTGATGTGGGACTTGAACCCACCAACTGTGGGATCATGACCTGAGCTGAAGTCAGACGCTTAACTGATTGAGCCACCCAGGTGCCCTAATGTTTGTTTAGTTTTAGAGGGAGAGAGACAGAGAGCAAGCATGAGAGGGGAGGAGAGAGAGAGAGACAGAATCTGAAGCAGGCTCAAGGCTCTGAGATGTCAGCACAGAGCTGATGTGGGGTTGGAACCCACAAACTATGAGATCATGACCTGAGCCGAAGTCAGATGCTTAGCCAATGGAGCTACCGAGGCACCCCTAACTCAGTGACTTTTAGTAAGTTTACTGAGTTGTGTAACTTCATCCTCCAGCTTTAAAATATTTTTATCCCCTTTCTACAGATACCTCTTGGCTAATTACATTTAATCCTCCAATTAATTACCCTCATACCGAGGCAGAGCTTCATAAATTTACCCTTTTTGGACATGTCATATAAGTAGAATCATACAATATGTCGTCTTCTTTGTTAACTTCTTTTTCTTAGCATAATGTTTTCAAAGTTCATTTATGTTTCAGTATGTATCAGTATTTCATTCTTTTTAAATTGTTGAACAATACTCCACTGTTTGACTATACCACATTTTGATCCATTTTATCACTTGATAGATGTTTAGGTTGTTTCCTAATTTTTTAGCTATTCTGAATAATGCTACTATAAACATTTGTGTACACATTTTTGTTTGGATATGTGTTTTAATTTCTCTTGAGTAGATACTCGGGGATAGAGTTGCTGGGTCGTATGGTAACTAGTTAACATTTGAGGAAATACCAAACTGCTCTCCAAATGATTGTATCATTATTTATTTATTTATTTATTTTAATGTTTTATTCATTTTTGAGAGAGACAGCATGAGCAGGGGAGGGTCACAGAAAGAGGGAGACACCGAATCCGAAGACAGGCTCCAGGCTCTGAGCTAGCTGTCAGCACAGAGCCCTACACGGGGGAACCATGAGATCATGACCTGAGCTGAAGTTGGACGCCCAACTGACTGAGTCACCCAGGCGCCCCTGATTGTATCATTTTATATTCTCACCAGCAATATGAGGGTTCTAGTTTCTCCGCATGCTCAGCAGTGTTTATTATTTTATGTTATTTTGATTATGGACTTTCTGGTGGGTGTGAAGTGGTATCTCACTGTGGTTTTGATTTGCATATGACTAATGATGATCATCTTTTCATGCCATTGAATATCTTCGGTAAAATGGCTATTCAAATCTTTTATCAATTAAAAAAATTTTTTAATGTTTATTTTTGAGAGGGAGATCGAGAGACACAGTGTGTGATCGGGGGATGGGCAGAGAAAGAGAGACAGACAGACAGACAGAATCCAAAATGGGCTCCAGGCTCTGAGCTATCAGCTCAGAGCCTGATGCAGGGGCTTGAACCTTTGTGTTTTTTTTTTTTAATGTTTTATTTATTTCTAGGAGAGAGAGCGAGAGACAGCGTGAGAAGGGGAGGGTCAGAGAGAGAGGGAGTCACAGACTCTGAAACAGGCTCCAGGCTCTGAGCTGGCAGTCAGCACAGAGCCCTATGCGGGGCTCGAACCCACGAGCCGCGAGCTCATGACCTAAGAGAAAGTCGGACGCTTAACCGACTAAGCCACCCAGGCGCCCCAAGGGGCTTGAACCTTTGAACCGTAGGATCATGACCGGAGCTGAAGTCGGATGCTTAACTGACTGAGCCACTCAGGCACCCCTTTTATCAATGTTTTATTAGGTTGTTTTATGAGTTTGTAAATTTTGGATACAAATTCTTTATCAGATGTGTTTTGCAAATATTTCTGCTAGTCTTTGGCTTTTCTGCATTTTCTGAATGCTACTTTTTTCCCCCTTTATGCTGTCTTTTGAAGTGCAAACGTTTTGATGATTTGATGATATCCAGTTTACCACAATTTTTTAATGGATTGTGCTTTTGGTGTCATATTTAAGAAATCTTTGTCTAGCTCCAAGCCTTAAAGAGTTTTTCCTGTTTTGTTTTTTTTTTCCTAAAAATTTTATAGTGTTTGCTTTCACATTTAGTTTGGTGATTGATCTTGAATTATTTTTTATATATGATGTGAGGTAAGGGCCCAAGTTGACTTTATTGCATATGAATATCCAATTGTCATTTATCGAAAAGACTATCTTTTCCCCATTGAATTGCCTTGACACCTCCTCAATTTTTCCTTGTAACTTTCTGTCAGATTCCTAGTTTCACCCAGAATCAAAAGTTGTTATTCTTTATTCAGTTACCCATTCACCCATTCATTCATTCTTTGCACATTTATTATTTTGTGCTGAGTAATATTCTAATGATTCTCCAACTGTTAGATATTTGTGAGCAAAGACTGTCTCCACCCTCTTAGAGTTTAGAATTTAGTGGCAAATACAGTATTAATGAAATAATGGCCAAATATATAATTGCATATTTGATAAGTGGAATGAATTATTTACTGTGTTTAATAGATTGAAGGAAAAGTAGTGTTAATGATAGGGGGCTTGCCTAATTTGGAGGATCAGGGAAAGCTTCCCTGAGGAACTGAGAATTGAGATGAGATTTGAAAGCTAAGTAGCAGTAGACCAAGTAAGGAAAAGGGAAAGATTATTTCAGACAAGGGAACAGCATGTTAAGGATCTTAGGCAGGAAGAGGCCTATCTGATACATTTAAGGACCTGAAAAAATGCTTGTGTATCTGGAGCATAGACAGCAAAGGAATGAACACAAGGCATGAGTGGAATTAGGATGAAGCTGTAGAGGTGGGCAGAGGCCATATATTTATATATTATATTATATGTGAATATATATGTTATATATAAAAAATAAACATATATGTAAAACTTTCATTAAGAAAGTTTTTAAAGTTTATTTATTTTGAGAGAGAGAGAGAGAGAATCCCATACAGACTCTACACTGTCAACATGGAGCCCCACGCAGGCCTTGATCCCATGAACTATGAGATCATGCCCTGAGCCAAATTCAAGAGTTGGATGCTTAACTGACCCACCCAAACATCCCAAGAATGTTGGTTTTTATCCTAAAAGCAATAGGAAGCCATTGAAGAGTTTTAAGCTGGATCCTCCCTTCATTCCTTTAATGCTTTTTCCTCTTTCCCTCCTTATTGCCATTATGTTGGGCCAGAGCCCCATCTCCTGTTTTAGAATTACCATACTGGTTTGAATTGGTACTTGTACTTTCAGGTTTCCTATTCTAATTCAGTGTACACAGGTAGTCATTTCTCGGCTCAGAACAATCTGGTCCTGGATTCAATTAGGTTTAACGTAGTTAGAAGCAGTCTTTTTAAAAAAATATGTTTAAG